AAAGTGGATTACCAATTTTTTTTATCGTGTGAAAAAGTAAGAATAGCTTTTACCCTTTTCTGTCAATAAAACAGTTGGGTCCAGATGTTCAAACGCCAAATCGATACCTTTTGCAAGGACTCAAGTCTGCATTAACCACGTGTTAATTAGCCACACGTTAATGCAGACTAAATAAAACTAAATCTTGATTAATTTCATTCCTGGACGGGCAGTCTCAGTACAGTACTATAAATGCTATTTCCACCAACACGTGCGTTGACCAGGCGAAATCAAATGTTGAGAGAAAGAGGGGGGCTTCACACGACATGACATACGCCCATAACTTAATACAAACCAATTCGGACCTTACTGGTCACCCCGTACCCCTTCAAAATCTCAACGTTCATCCTACAAAGTTCCCACCACAAGGGAGAAACACAAACAAATAGACAAACACGTTTTCCTTTGTGCCCGTATTAAAACGGCTGTACACCATACGGACCTGCAAACTCAATCTACCTGTACAAGGATAAGGGGTAAACCGTCTGCGTTGACAGCAGTGTAGCCCTCTTGTCCCCATTGGCACATTCGAGCAAAGCCGAGCTCTGGGGCCCTCACAGTAGAGGCACTTTCCAAAGGCCATTTGTCACGCTGAGCCGAAACTACAAAGTGTGCGACACGCGGGTTTCACTAAACATCCGAATCTGGCTTGGCGCCAAGCAGGGCCGGGCATTGGGGCTGATGACGTAGGCCGTTCCTTATGACGTCTGCCGTTCATTGTGACGTCAGCCGCCCAGCTGGGGATCTCTGCACTCGAAGGCCTCGTGACCCGGGTTGGGCCAGCTCGGCACGGTTCCGGCGTGGCTCGGTTGTACGTAGTGGAAAATACGTTTTGCTTAACTCCTTTGACCAAATCGCCCATAGTGCGGGGGGTGTGCGTGTTCTCAGAAGCTAAGCAGACACGAGCCTGGATTGTGCCTGGATGGGCGACGCGAGGTCTGGGGGTGTGCAGCTAAATCTATTGTAGTACCGTACTCCTATGGCTCCCTGCCACCGCCAAAGTATCAATCGGTCAGAGAGCAAACCACGACCCGCAACAAGGAGGGCCCTCGTCCAGCAGTGGATTTATAAACAAAGATGTCTCTACGATGTGCAAACTGCAGGGCGCCTTCTTCCTGCTCTCGCAGTGAAACATAAAAGAAGCGACCTCGCAACGCCGCGGGACACGTCACGCCGTGAACTTGAACTTCAACCCCCCAAGTGGCCTGCTGCCCCAGGGAAGCGACGCGACACGGCTGACGTCCCCTGCCGTGACGCAGCACGCCCCCCCCCCACCCCGCCAGCCCCCCTCCCCCCGGCACGAGCCCCCAATCGCCAGGAAGGGCCCCCCCCCCCCCCCCCACAACGCAACACAAGCTCCCCCCCCGGACCCCCAGCAAAAGTCCCCCCCCAGCTCTCACCACCAGCCCCCCCCCCTCCTCGCAAGCCCCACCACGAGCCCCCCTAAGCACCCCTCCTCTCTGACCCCCACCACGAGCCCTACCAACCCCCCCCTCCTCGCAAGCCCCACCATGAGCCCCCCTAAGAGCCCCTCCCCTCTGACCCCCACACGAGCCCCACCCCCTCCTCGCAAGCCCCACCACGAGCCCCCCTAAGCACCCCTCCCCTCTGACCCCCACCACGAGCCCTACCAACCCCCCCCTCCTCGCTAGCCCCCACCACAAGCCCCCCTAAGAGCCCCTCCCCTCTGACCCCCACCACGAGCCCCACCACCCCCCCCCTCCTCGCTAGCCCCCACCACGAGCCCCCCTAAGAGCCCCTCCCCTCTGACCCCCACCACGAGCCCCACCACCCCCCCCCTCCTCGCGAGCCCCCACCACAAGCCCCCCTAAGAGCCCCTCCCCTCTGACCCCCCCCCCCCCCCCCCACTGACCGTCCATGCTGGAGAAGAGTTCCCGTTTGGTGCGCGCCATCAGGCGGTTGTAGCGCTTGCTGAAGGCGGCGAGGAAGCGCGGGGTCACCACGCGCCTCCACAGCTGCGCGCGCCGCGCCGCCCAGCACGCGCCCAGCACGGCGAGCGACGCGCACAGCCACAAGCTGCAGCAGCAGCAGCAGCTGCTGCTGCTGCTGCTGCTACTGCTACTGCTGCTACTGCTGTCGATGCTGCTGCTGCTGTCACCATCGAGCGCCATCGTGGGAATGAGCGAGCGCGCGGTGGGAGGGAGGGAGGGATGAGAATCCCACGTGACGAGGGGGGCGGGGGACAACCCTTCTCGGCTGGACCCGACCACTCGTCCCTCCACTCCTCCGTGCTCCCCCCTCGCCAAATTTGAATGTCGAGTGCAAGTTGTGGGTAAAGGTCAGGCAGCAGCAGTTGTGGTTAAAGGTCAGTTAGTAGTAGTTGGGGTTAAAGGTCAAGCAGCAGCAGTAACTCATTTCAACCGGAATGAATTCATCTGTGTGGCCTGCCACGTTGTCCTCACGACCAGAATGAGAATGTTGATTTAGCCTGGCAACACAAATCCGATGAGCTATGAAGCTCTTCTTTTGCACCGTGTCCAGCAGGATTGCGTCAGAAAGCTACAACGACAAACGATGCCTAAAGAAACAAACAAACCGATCGGAGTGCAAAGTATTGGAAAGGAAATCAAAGCAATAAAGATAAATATACGAAATAGATAAAGTTAAAATTACATAATGACACCAATTCCCAAACTTGGGCAAGGCAGTAAAAGTTGTGTATGCATGTTGAACTTCTTTCGCACTGCACGTAGCCAACCGTAATAATCGAAGGTGCGGGGTTTAAGGACAACACACTAACAAGTTTGGCATACAATACAGTACACGGTGCAATCATTTAATGCTATTTAATATTATTGCGTAATGATGTTATAGGTGGTGGCTATGCACGCCTCTAAGTCCAGCACTGTGGGGGCAAGGGTTGGTGGATGATGCACATACGTTGTGAAACTCCGTTCTCGAGGGTGTGGAGGATGAGGTGACATCATACCGTGACCCGCCAGGAGAGGGTGGTGCAGCAAGTGTGGACCCACCGCCACCCGTTTCCATCTGTACGGGGATAGAGCGTTGCCCCCTCGCGCGAGTGGATTTTCTGCAGGCGCTCTGGTTTCCTCCGATTTGTAAAAATATATATTGGCTGAAAACTTCTTTAAAATGTTTTAATCTAATGCAGGAACTTCCTGTAAAATAATTGAGTTACACGACTCAGTGTTGCTTCCCTCCACAAATAATTATAATTATTATTGCGGATAGGAGTACCTTGTGCTGTACAACAGTGGCATGGCAGTGTGTTAGGCCCATAATCCTTGCTCGAGTGAGGAATTAAGCCCGAGTGCATGGAAATGTTTACACAGACACTTAATATATTAGTTCACGAATTCAAAGCAGAATGACAAACATTTATTTTACGGCTCAAACGTATTATTCGTTGACAAATTGTTGTAGCTCTCCATCAAGAGGAATACGGAGCGAGTAATCGCAACCATGGCCGTGCTCTCCAGGGAACTATTCAGGTTATATTGAGTTTAAACTATTTCGATTATTTTGTTGCTATAGCATTGTCCAAATGACAAGACATTTTGTGGAGCTATCATTTTGTGGCCAGGTCGCTTTTGAAAAATAAATTGATATCTCAGTGGACTTTGCCTGGTAGGATGGGGATGGTTTAGTGTTTTATTTGTTTCTGTTTTGGGTGATTTGTTTACAACTTTTGTACTTTGCACTTCGATCGTGTTTTTGTACTGTGTTGCAATGCTCTTACCCGCCCCTACTGGACATATGTGAAAACGAGCTTTATAGTTCATCGGACGGATTCCTCCAGTATAAATTCATGTTATGATTCTGATTCTGAACTAAGTACAGAAAAAAAACTACATGAATCCTACTGGGGAGCGATGCGAGTACGCTCCGAAACCGCGTGGTGCAAAACCCCCGGAGTGGAGGTGTCTGCGCCACGTCCCAGTGCAATCGCAAACGTGAGCGCACATCAGTGGTTGCTAGGGATTACATCACCACTCCCCCTGCACCGGCCAATCGGCTGCAACGGGACGGGTTTTGGCGCCAAATTTGTATCGATGCTACCTCTGCTGCAGCAGTAGAAACCCAGATGTGAAGTGGAGGCTGGGTGAACTGGACAGTCAACCGTTAAACGTCCCTGAGTGGTGCGCACTGGCGATGCCAGGACCACCGTGCGTGCCGATGATGTTTGCCGGCGTGTGTTGCTCACAACCCTTTGCGGAGGAGAGACTGGCGGTTCGGTGAAGTAACACCGTTAACTCTCCCTTGGTGTGATTGTGTACCCGGCTTGAGCGGGTGAATTATGAAATGCAATTCTGGGAGTGTTTTGCATCGAACCTACACGGGGAACAAATGCCACCTCTCAATTCTAGATTTGAAGCTTTCGTGACTGCAAGGAATCATATTCTTAGGTTTTTTCGGTAAAGTCACGTAGGTAAAACATCAAAATTAAAGCCACATTGACTCTTAAGAGATGGCACGGCGTCTGATAATGTCAGTGGCGAGTGATCAACTGAACCGGGTCTGGGCGCCCTCTTTCTCCGTGGCAGTGGTTCCCAACTTTTCTGGAGCCCTGCACCATTGTGCCCAGCAGGGACTTGCCAGATGGAGGCGGCTTGGGGGGATTGTGCGGTGTCGTCCAGCACCACGCGGCTTTGTGCGTACGAGGGGGTTCGCCTGGTACCCCTACCCTAACCCCTATGATAGGGGTCGTGATAGGGTCGCGATAGTAGTGATAGGGGTAGTGATAGGGGTCGTGATAGTAGTAGTGATAGGGTCGTGATAGGGGTAGGGGTTGGGGTAGTGATAGGGGTTGGGGTAGTGATAGGGGTTGGGGTAGTGATAGTAGTAGTGATAGGGTCGTGATAGGTATAGGGGTTGGGGTAGTGATAGGGGTTGGGGTAGTGATAGGGGTTGGGGTAGTGATAGGGGTTGGGGTAGTGATAGGGGTTGGGGTAGTGATAGGGGTAGTGATAGGGGTTAGGCTAGGGGTAGTGATAGGGGTAGTGATACGGGTAGGGCTGGTCGTAGCTGGGGGGCAGGGGTGCCCGACCTGTAGCAGACCAAGAGCCAGTTCTCAAAATCTGAATCTTTATTCTGCAGGAATCCGATGAGCTGTGAAGCTCTTGATGCACAGATGTCCAGTCGTGTATATATATCGACACAGCACGGGAGACATTCATTATTCGTTGCTACTACTGCGATAGTAGCACGTGCTACTACTGTGATAGTAGCACGTGCTACGCTGTGCCCCTTGGATAGAGCCACGTGTGGGTTGATTACGGGCACACGAGGAACACGCGGGCACGCGCACACGCTGATCACAATCTTCACTTGAACCGCCTCTATGAACGCAGATCGCATTAATTTATTGGCGAGTTACCTGACACGTGTTTAACAGTTTCGTGCGTTTTCATTGAAGAGGTGAACCCTTTCCTGCCTTTCCCCTTCAAATAGAGCTTCATAGCTCATCGGATTTCTCCAGTATAAATACATATGATGAATCTGATTCTTGGGGTTGGTGAGCTGTAGGCGCTTGATATCGTCCCAGTGACCTCATCGCCATCGCTGATGTCACGTGGGTGGCGAGAATGTAAAAACTAAACTTTTTATTTTGCCAGGTAAGGCCCACTGAGCTGTGTAGCTCGTTTTCGGAAGCGTCCTGGCCACAAGTGATAAATCAACGAAGTGGCTTGTCATGTGGCAATTTGTAGCAGCCAAATATACTCTAAATGCGTGATGTCGATTCTAAATGTGGAGGGGAAAACCGGAGGATACGGAAAAAACTCCACTCGACCACAGGGAGAGACACGGAAACTCTAATTAAACAGCAGGCGTCAGGGTCGTGATCGAACCCACGACTTCCTGTATACCAGGCGAGGTAGTTAACATCTCATAGCCACCGTGATGATGATGAGAAAGAGACTCCGCAAACTCCAATTATACAACAGGCGTCAGGGTCGTGATCGAACCCACGACCTCCTGTATACCAGGCGAGGTAGTGAACATCTCATAGCCACCGTGGCGCCACCATCCGAGTTACGAACACTCCCCGCGGTTCTTCGATTGCCAAGCCCGGAGTGGCTTGTAAAAATATTTTATATTTTCAAAGTAGAGGGACAAATGTGAAGGAGGTGCTTATTTAATTGATCACATTCTACACAATCACGCCCACGACTGTTTTGGGTCGTCGCTGTCGTTGATGACAGCGTGGAGGCTCCGTTCTCCCTGTGGCCACCGCACGCCAGGGCGGCTCACTTGTCGGGACGCTGCCGAATGCCCAACTGGTAGGACTGCGGGGAGCGCGAGGCTCCGATAGCGGCAGCCAGGCAGGGCTGGGACTCCGGGTCAGGCCAGTAGAACTGGAAACGCCGCATCAGCGATGTGAAGAAGAGGAAGATCTCCATCTTGGCCAAATTCTCTCCCAGACACACGCGGGGCCCTGTGTAACGTGAACGTGAATCAATGTCGACCGCTACGGATCACAATGCCCGCAATCAAATTGCGTGCGAAACAATCAATGTCTTTTTTGTTACCCATTATAAATATGTGCAACTGGTATGCCCGTGTAATGTTCAAGCTCATGAAGCAAACACAACTACATGAACATTACAAAAAAGATGGTGACTTTTATTTATTTATTTAGATTTTTAATTGCAACACGGACATAAACCGTAACCATCTTTTTAAATAATGGGGGGGGGGGGGAGGGGGGGGTAGGTAAATTGTTAAATGTCAATTACAGTAATTAGCTTGCTGAGCGGTGTTGAGCCTGGATAGTGCTTGAATGGGTGACCACCATGCACCAACTGGTTGTCATAGGGCTGCACGGTTCAGTGTTGGGCTGTACATGGCAGTGCAGAAACACACATTGCTGTACTGCACTTCTATGCTGCCACATTTATGGTCCCCGGCCTTAAAGATTCCCGCACGGACAAGCGTGGTGAAGATATGGCCACAAGACTCGTACGGTGTGTGAAGGCCCTCGTCCAGTGGTGGATTAACAAAAGGGCTGCACATAAAACAATTCTTCTATAACTAGGGGTTGTTCGGAGGCGCCTGCGACGCCCCTCACAACCATTTACGGCCTTCGGTCAGGAAAGTCACAAAAAAATTTCACACGAACGAAGCATTCACGCAAGCACCCGATTCTCCGTTTTGAAGTTTTAAAATTAAACATCTTTGAATTGTATTGTGTTTTGAATTAGATAATTGTATTTCTTCATTAAAAGCTTATATCATTTTACATCTGGAAGACTTCATTGAAAAGGACATTTCGTGTGAATTATCTCTCGTCGTTGGGGGTTCGGTTCGATGCGGACTTTCATCTGTTTGGGATTGCGGGATCGAGATAAGGCGACACGGAGCTGGCCGTGCGAGAAAACCGCCGTCTGCAGATCGATTCCAACGTGATCGAACGTCTGTCCTTGCTCCTCCGTCGTTCATGCAGGGGGCGCGTAGGTTTGCAGCGCCCCCTGCATGAATACGACGGAAAGTGCAGCGTTCATCACAGATAGATAAAGTTGTGCGCTTATATAAGAACCTATTACTATATATTTCCACTGGTAAAGGAGATGTCTCATAGTGTAAATGCTTACCCCGAGCTCTCAATACTCTGACAGTGCGCTGTTTTTGAGTTGTACGCCTTTTGGCGTCATCTGGTCCAACACCAATGGAGACTAGGCTCTAAGAAAAGCTGTCTCGGGTGTGGACCAATCAACTTCAAGGACAGTGCATATCATTATCATCATCAGAGTTGTTTCTTTTTGTTTGTATTTTGACTGTTTGTGTTGTGGTTATTGCAAACATGATCCCTTGTATAAAGGTGTTGGTTTTTGTACCAGTTGAAAGGGTAAAAACTTATTACTATAATACGCTTGTTTTAGATTTTGCTTGCGAGCAGCATTTTCATTTGCTTGGTAGTGCGATTCGGTTCTCACATTCTAATCATCAACGTGCAACATTTTTGCAGGACGCTATTATCACGAATGACGCGAAATGAAACGAAAGTGGTTCTCATTGAGGTCACAAGCCCGGGACGCAGCCAGAGACAAGGGCACCAGCAGCAGAGGAGAACCATGTTGTTGTGTAGAACCACGTGGTGTAGAACCACGTTGTTGTGGTGTAGAACCACGTTGTGGAGAATCACGTTGTGGTGGTGTAGAACCACGCTGTTGTGGTGTAGAACCACGTTGTCGTGGTGTAGAACCACGCTGTCGTGGTGTAGAACCACGTTGTCGTGGTGTAGAACCACGCTGTCGTGGTGTAGAACCACGTTGTCGTGGTGTAGAACCACGCTGTCGTGGTGTAGAACCACGTTGTTGTGGTGTAAAACCACGTTGTTGTGGTGTAGAACCACGTTGTTGTGGTGTAGAACCACGTTGTTGTGGTGTAGAACCACGTTGTGGTGGTGTAGAACCACGTTGTGGTGGTGTAGAACCACGTTGTTGTGGTGTAGAACCACGTTGTGGTGGTGTAGAACCACGTTGTTGTGGTGTAGAACCACGTTGTTGTGGTGTAGAACCACGTTGTTGTGGTGTAGAACCACGTTGTTGTGGTGTAGAACCACGTTGTGGTGGTGTAGAACCACGTTGTGGTGGTGTAGAACCACGTTGTTGTGGTGTAGAACCACGTTGTTGTGGTGTAGAACCACGTTGTCGTGGTGTAGAACCACGTTGTTGTGGTGTAGAACCACGCTGTCGTGGTGTAGAACCACGTTGTCGTGGTGTAGAACCACGCTGTCGTGGTGTAGAACCACGTTGTTGTGGTGTAGAACCACGTTGTTGTGGTGTAGAACCACGTTGTTGTGGTGTAGAACCACGTTGTTGTGGTGTAGAACCACGTTGTGGTGGTGTAGAACCACGTTGTGGTGGTGTAGAACCACGTTGTTGTGGTGTAGAACCACGTTGTGGTGGTGTAGAACCACGTTGTTGTGGTGTAGAACCACGTTGTTGTGGTGTAGAACCACGTTGTTGTGGTGTAGAACCACGTTGTTGTGGTGTAGAACCACGTTGTGGTGGTGTAGAACCACGTTGTGGTGGTGTAGAACCACGTTGTTGTGGTGTAGAACCACGTTGTTGTGGTGTAGAACCACGTTGTCGTGGTGTAGAACCACGCTGTTGTGGTGTAGAACCACGTTGTCGTTTTTTCTTTTTGTTTGCATTTTGACTGCTTGTGTTGTGGTTATTGCAAACATGATGCCTTGTATAAAGGTTTTGTACCAGTTGAAAGGGTAAAAACCTATTACTATATTTTGCCACTGGTAAAGGAGATGTCTCATAGCGCTTATATAAGAGTATTATTGATTCATACGTCTACAAATTCATCATCATCCCCTCGAGCGAGTCGCGTGAATTTGTTGTTATTGTGACAGAAATTCGTATTTTTTTGAGGGCGTAAAAGTTTCCCCGCATACCAGCAGAGAAGGGTAGGAAGGCGTCGGGCTTGACAAACTGGCCAGCGTCGTTGAGGAAGTGCCCCGGGTTGAACTCGAGCGGAGTTTTCCAGTGGTTCTCATCGTAAAGAACTGACGTCAGGTTCGGTATCACGATCGTGCCCTGCGGGATGGATCGGAAACAACACTCAGCATTTAGGGAGCGTAAAGAAGTCATAGTGCAGTGGGTTCCAACCTTTCTGGACCTCTGGATCATTCTTGGTTCTTTCGGTAAAGTCACGTAGAATGGAAATAATAAAATAATAAAAATAAAACATTATAAAAATAATCACTGTCAAGCCTAAACAAATATAACGGACCAAAAACAGCATTTCCACATTAAAATGGACCTAAATCACTGCCAGAATTCCACAAATCAGTGGTCAATTTGGCCACAAGTTGGGAACCACCGTCCTAGTGAGAGGTTCTTTAGCCAGCAGTAATGTGAGCAAGGAATTGCAGGGCTGTACCTTGAGCTCGAGTTACCTTGGGAATGCGGTATCCGCGGAATATGACGTCGCTGGCCGTGGCGTGCATGAACCCCGTTGGGAGCACGTTGGCCATCCTCTGGACCTCGTGAATCACGGCCACGGTGTACGGCATGGAGGCCGTGTCAGACATGGCTGGTGCACGGGAACTTCCAATCACGTCATCAATCTCCCGCTGGCAACGGTCTGCACGCAAGACAACAACAACAACAACAAACAGATTGCATTCGCATTGCGCCCGTAACGTAACACATGTCTAAAGAGTGCCGAGGGGACTCCCTGACGGCAGCTGCCCCTGTGTGCCATGAAGTGAACACAGCACAAACCTGCAAATGCACATTAATCTGCCGGTAGGGGAAGGGGGCGACGTTGCTATTGGCTCTTTACGAGTAATTGATCAAATTTGATAAATTCGGATCATGACACCTGCACACGCACAGCCCACTACACGAACGTTGAGAAACTCCCTTGCCGTGAGTATTTGGCTGCTCTGAATCTCCACATGGTGAGCCACTTCTTTGAGCTATTAAATTGTAGCAACAGCAGCGACGCCTGCTGTATATCTTTCGTGACTGCAGGAATTCATATTCTTTGGGTCTTTCTTTGGTATACTGTTTTTGAAGTTTGCGTGTTCTCTCTCCCCGTGGTCGCGTGGATTTTTCTCCGGTTCCTCCAGTTTTTCCTTCCACATTTAGAATCAACATGCGGTTAGAGTATTTGTCGGCTCTAAATTTCCACACAATAAGCCACTTGGTTGATCTGTCAATTGTGGGCAGGTCGCTTATGAAAAAAAGCTGTATATCTCAGTGGGCCTTGCCTGGTAAAATAAAAAATAGTTTTAAAAAAATAGTTCAAGAGTGTCGTGGTCACATACCCTGGCTTTCAAGGTGAAGGTGGTACAGCAGATGTGGACTCCATCTGTTCCATCGTTGTTGCCCTCTCGCAACACGTGGGTTTTTATTCCGGGTGCACCAGTTTCCTCTCACATCTAAAATCTCATTGGCTGATAAAACTTTAACATATATATAGGACCGCAGAGCTTGGAGAGTAGGAATTGGCACAGGCTCACCACCCGGCCTTTCCTCCTCGTCTGTGATTCCTCGTGCCTCCGAGTCGTTCTCTCTCTTCGAGAGCGAGCAATAACCGCGTGGGTTAGCGAGTTGAAGTAATTCGCACTCGTACTGCCAAATAATAAGAACGCGCCGTTGGCAATAACCAAGGCTGCAATTCTGGCACCGGAGGTCCCGGCGGTCACGGAAGTTGTGAGTTCGAATAAAGGCTGCACAATCTTGCAAACGGCCGCACGACGACGGTGAAAGGGTGGGGGCGGCGTTGTAGCAACACATTACACTGGGCTCTTCATGCATTGGCTACGTACGGTGCGAAGGAAGTTCCACACGTATGCATTCCACTCAAAGATGCCGTACATCTCGCGGAGATGGACAGCACTCCACCCTATAATCCGTGAACCTTTCAACGAATCATCGGTTTGGTTTGTTTTCCCCGCACCTCGGCCGTGTTACGTCACTGAAAGTTACCGTGTCTCAATCGCGACGTTAATCGCGGTGTATCACATAGGGCGGTAGACAGCGCACCCTGGATGCTGGGGTAAGCCATCATGTAGAGCAGGGCCCAGCGCAGGGTGGTGGCAGTGGTCTCAGTGCCGGCGACGAAGAGGTCCGATACCACGTTGATCAGGTTTCCGTCTGAGAAGGACGAGGCGCTCTGGTCTTGGCTCTCCTGTAGAAGTAAAACACGCGGTAGAGGCTTGTCTCCAAGCATTCGCTGCCTTTAAACTATAATGATGATAATAATAACACTGGTCAACACACTTTTTCTGTCATAAGGTATTCCAACTGTTTTAAGGTAATTTTGGGGTGCTGATTACAAATCTGGCATCAGTTTTTGTCTATCACATCAGGTTTTTGAGATATCAAATATTACATTTTCAATAAAAACTGCAGAAGAAAAATATTAAATAAATGTGGATATCTACATAAAATGATATTATAAACACACTATCCTAAATATACAGCACCATATTTTAACACTAAAGCAGTCACTGACTCGCAACAACTTGCAATCATAAGTGACAGAGTTAATTTTGGGTAAAATCAATGAAAATGGGGTATGCCGATAGCATAAAAACGAGATGTGATAGAGCAAATCTGAGATCAGATTTGGAATCAGCACCCTGAAATTAGTCTAAAACAGCTGCAAAAGTCCAGGCCAGAAAAAAATGTTGTTTTTTTGTTGACCAGTGTAATCTATCTCTATAAGCGACTAATATGTTTTTGTTGGTTTTCAAATTATTTGATGATGCTGCATGGTGATGATGCTGCACGGTGCAAAGGCACAACTGACACGAATTCAGAGCCTTCGTCAACAACGCTGTGGCCTAGAAAGAAAAACACAAATCCAGTCAGCGACATTGTGGGCAATGGTCCTTCTTCATGGCAAACAAATGTCTCTCCCACTCTTACAAATTAAAATAAAATCACTTTTTTTTACGTGGCTTAACTTATGAGCTGGACCTGTCTAGAATTTTTGAGTCTCATCAGCATTGAGTGGCCTGTTCAATAAATGCCATTGGGAATGCCTCGCGTGTTACAGTTACTAACTCTCTTCCCTTACCACGGGGCGCTGAGCAGTCCAGCACACCACATACGGTAATACCTCCCAGCACGGCTAACAGTCACGTGCCTACTCTAGCCCACCGGAGACTTCAATAATACCTTGGTGAGAAATGAATCCCTGGCTACTGTCAAGCATCTCACCTGCTCCATCTCATCCAGGTAGGCGTCGATGAGGTCCCGGGGCTGCCCTTCCACCCGTGTCTGCCGGTGAACTTGGATGCTCTCGTCATAAAAGTCCCTCAACGCGTCCGCGTTACGGAAGATTCGCTGGTGAGGGCCCGGGCAGTTTTCTAACCACGGCATCACCATGCAGAGCTGTGGAGCAGATGGAGAGGCGCTCACAATATCTTGGGCAATGTCGACCACCAGGAACTTGCCAGATGTAGGCTTGGGCACTGTGAGGTGTGGCGAGGGGATGGCAGTGTTAAGGCATCGTGCACCTTGTGCGCACGATGGGTTTTATCCAGGTGCTCTCGCAAGAAGCCAGCCGCTCGTTAAACAAATAAGTAAAATATCCCAAGACAGGACCTGTCTCGGCCTGGCTGTGCACTGCGTTGCACCACTATCCGAGTAGTTAACCTCGCATTCAATTAACATTCAGAGCCAGAGTGAACATCCGACTCCGAAGTATTTAATGAATTGAACGAGGTAAAACTGATGGAAACACAGCACAAAATACAGCATCTGTTAATACTTGGAATATCAATACAATTAATATTTCAGCATCATAACATTGTCTTAGATAACATGAAACTCAACAATAGGTCCTGGATGGACCAGGCACCTACATTAGCACTGAATAGCTACACAAGAGAATAAGCTACCGTGTTGAATAAGGTCACATCATGTAATCACCATACTGCAGCCTAAATGTACAACGCTGCACATCACACTGAACTGTGGATGAGATACTTCTTCATCCTTGCTCTCAAGATCGCATTAAAGTTACATGGGTACAATTCTGACTCGACTTATTCAATTACAAGTAACATTCACAATAATGCAAGTGGCAGGCTTCGTTGTTAACTAGGCCTCATATTTATCATAATAATTTAACGGCATTATAAAGGCATATACAGCATTATAACGGTAATCCTAGCATTATAACAGCATTCTCAGTATTATAAGAACATAAACGAACTTACAGACAATACTTCTTAAAGTCCCACAATGAACAGAAGCACCTGTCTTCACTGAGACGCTATTTGTGCCTCCATTTTGTACTCTGTGTAATGGCTGACACCCTGCCTCATGGCTTAGAGAATGTTAAATCGTAACTTCCTGGTCACGTGACCAAACTCAACACCATATCAGAAAGTTCCTGTGTAATCAACACCCCCATACCTGCCATTGGGCAGAACAGGACCCTTCTGAAAGACTCAGTGAGGCTTTCTTGGGTAATTGACATTATTATGTGCAATAAGAGGATTCATACAGGTGAGATGTTAACTACCTCACCTGGTATGCAGGAGGTCGTGGGTTTGATCCCAACCCTGACACCTGCTGCTGTATATTTGGAGTTTGCGCATCTCTCTCCCCGTGTTCGTGTGGATTTTTCTCCGGGTCCTCCGGTTTTTCCCTCCACGTTTAGAATCAACATCACGCGTCTATGGTTATTTGGCTGCTTAACATTTCCACACGACAAGCCACTCCCCGTTGAGCTATCACTTGGGCCTACAACAACTTCCAGACACACCTGTCCAATCCAGCCACTGAACAGCCGCAGGTTCTCAGCCAACAGGTGCAGCAAGTGGCGGAAGCGCGAGTCGTCGTAGTCGAAGCGGTGTCCAAAGACAATGGAGCAGACGATGTTGGACACGGCATTTTGAATGGTGAAGGTAGGATCCACCACCCTACCTGCAGTCAGCCACCGTGGCAAACCAACGTCACTTTTCACAAATGGGCATGAATTCATTTTCAACCGTCTTGCCTCCTGAGAGCGGAAAGCCGACACGGGGGGGGGGGGCAGGATACGATGGCGGTTGACAACTTTGAAAATGTCCCCGACTAATTGGCCACAACACACAGTCATCTCATCTCAAGTATATATAAAAGGCAAAGTTGTGATTATGTGTGCCTGTTCAAATTGTTTAGCGTACTTCCCGACATGCAACAAACTGCAAATTTGCCATGTGGGTACTTTCCAGACTGTACACCATGCAAAAATTATAATAATACACTTTTTTTTGTGGGGGAGGGGGGAGCTCAATAATGCAGTTATTTTTTGCACGGCAAGTGAGCTGTGACGTCACATCTGTCACGTGACCCGCGCACGTGGAAGCGTAACGCATTGTAGTGTAGCGGGTAGCGCGCCGCGCTACAAACCCGGCGACCCGAGTTCAATTCCCACTCACGGCCACCACCAGTGACGATTATTTGAACCGGTCCTGGGCCTCCCCTAGGTCGACTCAGCCTCAAACATCGCCACTGGGGAGACAAAGGCGGCCGGGTGTGGTGAATCCAAGTCCTGGGCGAAACCGGGTAGTACAGCTAGTCAATTATAATTTTAGTCGACTCATCAACTTCACCGAGTAACGATCTCTGCTACAAACAGGAGAGTGTGCGCGTGTTGTTTGTGAGGGTAGCATTCTTCTACGTTGGGGCGTCCAACATAAAAAAAAACCCTCACCGGACTCCCGGAATGTCTGGAGGAGGAATGCCACTTCCTCGCTGATCTTCTCCTTCAGAAACGTATTGCCGTTGCGCAGCGTAGAGACGGCGAAACGCCGCTGCTGCTTCCAGCTGTGGTCGTACGGAGCCGTTAATATCCCTGCCGACAACAAGGAAGAGAACGCAGATTCACCGGCAGTCCCGTACCACACAGGTTGTATTACACTGGTCAAAAAAAAAAAATTCTGGCCTGGAATTTTGCAGCTGTTTTAGACTAATTTCAGGGTGCTGATTCCAAATCTGATCTCAGATTTGCTCTATCACATCTCGTTTTTATGCTATCGGCATACCCCATTTTCATTGATTTTACCCGAATTAACTCTGTCACTTATGATTGCAAGTTGTTGCGAGTCAGTGACTGCTTTAGTGTTAAAATATGGTGCTGTATTTTTAGGATAGTGTGTTTATAATATCATTTTATGTAGATATCCATATTTATTTAATATTTTCTTCTGCAGTTTTTATTGAAAATGCAATATTTGATATCTCAAAAACTTGATGTGATAGACAAAAACTGATGCCAGATTTGGAATCAGCACCCCAACAATTACCTTAAAACCGTTGGAATACCTTATGCCAGAAAAAGTGTGTTGACCAGTGTTATACTTCTAATTTCCAACATCTTCAAGAACTCAGACTGACCGACATGGAGAAGAATGGTCAAACAACCTCCATTACCTTCATTCAACATTACAGCCAAGCCATACAATACTGAAAGGCAAAATAGTTTGACCCAAAAGTGATTGTTTATGAAAGAATGGAAAGCACTCCACGTATTTGTTTAACTTTCGCTTGTTTCTGTGTTCATCTCTGTGCGTCAAATTAATATTTCAACTGCAGAATTATAAATAAAACACCTTGCCCATATTTCATTCAACAAACGTGTTTGTTGAATTAGGATGGTTGGCTACGTACGGTGCGTAAGAAGTTCAACATACATACATTGACAAGATCACATAATTGTCTTCCCTTGCGAGATTGCATTTGCGAATACTCAGTTCAGATATCACTTGCCATGCCAAATGATATTCGCGTTGGCCGGCCGGTAATTGAACTCGGGTCGCCAGGTTCATGTTGCAATGTGATGAACGTTACACCACCTCTCCCTGCCTTAAAATTGAGTTATTTATTAACTGATTGGAATGCTGATAATTACAGGACCTTTGAGACAACTGTACACACAGATTACGCTGCCTCTCTAACCTACATTTTGTGCCACACGGAGTGTAACCGAGTGGGTCAGAATGCACAGCATGCGTTTGGACCTGTGTCTTCCAGGCCTACTAGGGCTGAAGCTTGACATTGGTCAAAACAGTTGCACGAGGTCATGGTTAAATATCTATTATTTTTCTATTTATTTTATCTTGCCAGGTAAGGCCCGCTGAGCTATGTAGCTCTTTCTCAGAAGCGACCTCACCACAAATGAGAGCTCAACGAAGTGGCTTATCGCGTGGAAACTCATCGCAGCCAAATACTTTAAACGCACCTTTCTAAATGTGGAGGGAAAATCCGGAGGACCCGGAGAAAAATCGACACGACCACGGGGAAAACACGCACACTCCAAATATACAGCAGGCGTCAGGGTCGGGATCGAACCCACTAAGTCTTTTACACCAGGTGAGGTAGTTAACATCTCACCACCGCAGCGCCCACTACAGCTTAAGACGCTGATGAGGTTTATTATTTTTTTGCTGCCGCTGTTGGTGGTTAAATGTGCCGGATTATCCTAATAGCAAAGTAGCTACACATGCTACGGACAACGCACTTTCAAGGGCCCCGCGCTAAATGCTTTCAAGCTATCAATTCCGGTTCAGTGATTCTGCACTTGCTCTATTACTATAGTACTATACCGCCTTCAACTTTTATGAACGACGACTGGGTGTTTAAGGTTAGCGATTTGTCGTATTATCTGGCTGTATAGCAAGTGAAAAAATACAATCACTTTACTATGCAAGTTAAACATGTGTGTTTAAATATTTGCATGTTTTTTTTATTTAGGGCCCTTTAATAACAAATGCTACATGCCCCGCACTAGCTTAATCCGGCACTGGTCACGCGACTGCGTATTGTAGTATTTTAACATTGTGACTGAGCAGACAAAGTGAAATGAAATGTTAATGTTCTGTAAGTGTTTGTTTATTGCTTACCCAGTCGCTGGGTGACTTTAGAAATGACGGGGATCACCGGACGGTCTGAAAACTCCTTAGCGTGCTGCACCAGTGCGTCCCATACAGCTTCGTACCCGTTGAGCACCACCCAAGGAGTGTGGCCCAGGTAGATGCTGAAGACTTCCCCGTACTCTTTTGACAACTGCCACAGAAAAACCAACGAAGAAAAACCATGCACGGATTACGTAACGCTTCCCAGCATGCGTTTGTCCACGTAAGTATATGATTAGGGGTAATAGTAAACTTGGAAATATAATGCAATACAACACAGTGAGTCGACTGTGTTCAATGATTATCTGTGTTGTATTGCATTACATTTCCAAGTTTACTATGTTTGTGTTCTCATTCATTTGTACCTGATGATGGTTGCTTGTGTTGCAATCGAAACGTCGTATTCTATTATTATTTAATTTCTTTCTACGTGACTTTACCGAAAGAACCAAAGAGTCATTCCTGCAGTCACGAAAGCTTCGAATCTAGTTTAGGGGTAATAGTGGTCGCCACGGGGGTGAGATGTTGTCTTCCTCTCCTGGCACAATCCTAACCCTGACGCCTGCTGCTGTGTATTTCGAATCTGCGTGTCTCTCTCTCTCCCCGTGGTCGCGTGGATGTTTTTTCTCTGGGTCCTCTGGGTTTTCCCTCCACATTTAGAAACACGCATTCAGAGTATTTCGATTATTTTGCTGCTATAAATGTCCAAATGATAATCCACTTTGTTGAGCTATCATCTGTGCCCAGGTCGCTTCTGATAAGTGAATGTCTCAGTGGGCTTTGCCTGGTAGGATGGGGATGATTTGGTGTTATATTTGTTTGTGTGATTTGTTCACCTTTCTTGTACTTTGCACTATTGCCGTGTTTTAGTACTGTTTGTTGTTCTAACGTTCTTATCACGTGCCCTTACTGGACATCTGTGAAAAAGAGCTTGAAAGCTCATCGGATTCCTCCTCCAGTATAAATATTCTGATTATGATAATGGCTGAGCGCGAGGCGAGTTTCTCTGTTAATGCCTGTTGCCCCGTGGGCCCTGCACCGTCCCCGTTCTGCTGTGACGTGGCACTGATGCCCACTCTATTCAGGGCGATATTGCCACGTAAAAATAAAGATTGATTGATAAGTGTTATTATATTTTTATCGGTGTTTTCGACTGTTGTGCGTACCGCCCATGATACACTTCAAAACTAAGTCTGTTTACTCGTGTAGCAGGGACGTTATTGGTTAGTATGAATTACACATTGGATAGTTTCTACAAGCATTGAGCTTTTTTAATGTTTGCATGGGTGTGTGGGGTGCCTGAAGCTGGATCGTGACCTTACAACATCTCCTAACGGTCCGCACAGGTGTTCGCTCCGGAATTATATCGTCACACGTAACCATACTAAGGATGTCATGGGACCTGCTTTGCCAGTATCAAAGTATGAAAAAATATAGAATAGGTTTTACCCTTGTACGTGTGCTTAATGCAGACCTGATTCCTTGGAAAAGGCATCGCTTCGGTGTTGGACATCTTAACACCTGTTGTATTGCCAGAAAGGGTCAAACCTATTTTTCGACACTCAAGGCTGTCAGCGGTGCCACTTCTGTGGTCTGACCCTCTGAGCCACCTCGCCGGAGGTGATTATGAAGCCCCCATCACAGGTGGTGTAAGGGAGGCACGGGAATTCGCCACCTTGTAGAGGGCCATGCCGGGCTCCTGCGTGGGCAGGGAGCCCAGGTTGCCCAGCAGGGGCAGCGCCGTGGGGCCGGGCGGGAAGCCGCGTGGCCGCTGGACCTTGCGCCACTCGAGCAGCAGCAGGAAGGTGGCGAGGAAGACGAGGCAGGTGGAGAGCGACGGCGAGATCAGGGTCGAGGAGAGGGCGTCCAGCGCGGAGGAGCCCAGCGACGCCGCCATGGCAGCCTGGCAATGAGGACGAGGGCGGCGGTGATGGAGATGAGCCTCCACATCGTCGTCGTCATAATCTACATCAGCGACACTGTCGCGATCATCACCGTCGTCATCATCGACGTCATTATCAGCATCGTCATCGTCATCATCGACATCATCATCAGCATCGTCGTAGTCATCATCGACATCATCATCAGCATCATCGTCGTCATCATCGACATCATCATCAGTATCACCGTCGTCATCATCGACATCATCATCAGCATCGTCGTCGTCATCATCGACATCATCATCAGCATCGTCGTCATCATCGACATCATTATCATCAGCATCGTCGTCGTCATCTCCAATGTGTTTTGTCGCAAGGCATCGTTGGGGTGCGTCCAACGAAGGCGACGCGAAACGTCGAACGAGCTTGCACAGGGCTCGGCAAACCTGCCCTGCCCTACCGGAGCCGCATGCCGATCTTTCTGGCTGCTCCCTCGGTGGGCATCCGTTTAATAAAGAAACAAACCAAACAACTTGAATTTGAAATACGATTGAACGCGAAGATGATGTATTAAATATGGCGGGCAATTGGATCACTATTGAATGTCTTGGTGACGACAAAATGTCCAGGCAAACTGTATTTTTAGAGAGTAACTATTTGGTTTCAGTCAGAATGTGCGTTGTCATCTGCTGTATACCTGCCGTGTTCGCGTGCACGTTTCTTTCCAAGTATTTCGATCAAAGACAAAAAAAAAACACGCGCGTTGAAAAAACCCACGGCTCAACTTCTTTTTTAAATGTTGCCGAGCCACTCATTGAGTGCAGAACCACGCACGGCGGCACAAGACGAACGCGCAAATCGGAGAAGTTAGGGGCCGTCCATAAATGACGTCACGCACCTATGGGGGGGGGGGGGTCAGACATTTGTGACGATGTGTGACGAGGGGGGGGGGGGTTTGAGAAATGTGACGTCACATCAAAATGCGCAACTTTAAATAAATACAGACAACACGTTCTACTTAATTAAATATACTTTTTAATAAATGTTTTCTCCTACAACATCAGAGTGCAGCGCCACATTAAATCCGCACTACGATGACAATAGTTTAAAGCGATTGGTCTGGATCAGGTGGCCCGCAGTTTCTCATTCACGACGGAGAGAGAGGTTCGATGCCGACCCGGGCGGTTTCCTTTCGTCGAGGCTGAGATTTTGTGCCACGTCTTAACAAATGTTACGAGCCGCGAGACTTTGCTCTTGAAGGTTTTGGCCAGGTTCACATTCACGAGATTTCAGTGGCGTCTCGCAGCTGTTATCGCTCTGCGTCTGCATCAGCCGTACGAAGGCATCACCTGTGACCCCTTATCAGTGCCCTAACTTATTACAAATTCAGACCCTATTGGTCACCACGTGCCCCTTAGAAATCTCAAAGTTCATCCCACAAAGTCCCATCACAGGGGAGAAACACAAACAAATTGACAAAATAGAGTATAGTGTATAGTAGTGTAGTGTATAGTGTATTTATAGTAGTGTATAGTGTAGTGTACACCATACCTGTCAACCCCTTATCAGTGCCCTACCTTACCACAGACAACTTCAGACCTTATTGGTCACCACGTGCCTCTTAGAAATCTGAAGTTTTATCCTACAAAGTCCCATCACAAGGGAGAAACACAAACAAATAGACACAAAAATGTTGCCCGCATTGAAACGGCTGTACCCTGTATGGACCTGATAACTCAATTTCCCTGTCCAAGAATACGGGGCAAACCGTCTGGGTTGATGACGACTGCTTGTGTGGCGATCGAAACGTCGTGATCTATTCTTATTTTTTCGAACCCACGTGACTATGCCGAAAGAACCAAAGAGTACGATCCGGAGACGCCGGCAAACCCGCTCCGAAGGCCGTGACCAGCCGGGCGACCGGCACCCTGCAGCGTGACAAAACACATTCCTGCGGAGGGAGCTGGTAGGAACGTTGGGTTGCTCGGTCAATGGCCAGGGTCAACGGCGGCGTGGTGTATTCCGCAAATATGCCAGACTGTGAGGGCGACCACAAGCCGGTGTGAGTAGGTCAAACGTTGAGTTTTATAAGGGCACCACGGGGTGACCAGCCCCTCCCCACCCAGCCCCACCCCTCCCACCCTCCACCCAGCCCAACCCTCCCCACCCAGCCCCACTCCTCCCATTTTTGGATGCACGACGGACGGACGGACGGACACAATAATCCCCTGTGGGCTGGTGGAACCAGGTGGTTTCCTACCAGTAACAAAATCTCTACGCTTGGTTCCAGTGTGACATATTTTCCCACGACATTATACACAACACACAACTTAAACAATGAAAACACTGCACGTGTATACATCAGCCCATGGTGCCGAGTCTTCGAGAGTGGAGTGCTCAGTACGGATCAGTCAATGCGGGTAAGTTACCCTTGAAACTTGACATGATAGTGTTCAGGGCTCGGTGGAGAAAACTTGCTCCAGAGATATTTCGGTATTCTAAGGAATGATTAGCAGAGGTGGGACAAAGTCATTGTTATGCAAGTCCAAGTCGAGTCTGAAGTCATCAAATTCATGACTCGAGTCTGACTCGAGTCCAAATCACATGACTCGAGTCCACACCTCAGAGGTGGGACAAAGTCATTGTTATGCAAGTCCAAGTCGAGTCTGAAGTCATCAAATTCATGACTCGAGTCTGACTCGAGTCCAAGTCACATGACTCGAGTCCACACCTCAGAGGTGGGACAAAGTCATTGTTATGCAAGTCCAAGTCGACTCTGAAGTCATCAAATTCATGACTCGAGTCTGACTCGAGTCCAAGTCACATGACTCGAGTCCACACCTCAGAGGTGGGACAAAGTCATTGTTATGCAAGTCCAAGTCGAGTCTGAAGTCATCAAATTCATGACTCGAGTCTGACTCGAGTCCAAGTCACATGACTCGAGTCCACACCTCTGATGATTAGACGCTCCTGAAAGTCGCACCGCATTTATGCAAATCTAGTCATACAAAGACAAAGGTCCCCCATGTAGCCTTTAACAGACTGTAGGGGCAAGTGCTGCTAGCGAGTAGCACCTATGAAGGCCGACACGGCACACGAGGGGGTGGGTGGCCAACATCCACGCCCGGCCGCCTTTGTCTCCCCAGTGGCGGTGTTTACACACCACATCAGGTACTCATTTGAGGCCGAGTCGACCTAGGGGAGGCCCAGGACCGGTTCAAATAATCGAACTCGAGTTCCTGGGTTCGTAGCGTAGCGCACTACACTCACACACGTGTTGAAGTTAACAGAATTATACCACTGACGCAATCGCTCCCCGCCACCAAATACTGTACCTTGATGCAACTCTGGTCACACACTCACTCACCGGCTTATAAGGCGACACTCCCAACTTTTAAACAGTGGGAAAGCGAGAGAATGCGGTGATACAAAGTTCACGGGGGTGGTGGTGGGTGGTCTTGATGCATGCGTGCGTCAAGAAACCCGCTCGGCTCCACAGTAGGCCGTAAGGTGAAGACGTTTTACGTTTAATCCCGTTCCCATATATGGGCCACTAAATTCTTTTTATTCTAATAAAAAGATCTATTGCTGTTGGCCGTGAAAATAAAAGTTCTCCATGTCTAATCCTGCAGTTTATTTGTTATTATTGTTTAAAGTCGGCAATATTTCTTTCCTCGCGTAATAATATTTTGATCATCAGTGATGAGGCTTTGCGTCACGTGCTTCCCGCTAGACCAATGAGGTGGCTGCTTTTTTGGGACGAAAGGTAAACATTACTCCAAGATGTCTGTGCCCTTGTTGTCAATGTCGAGTAGTGAAGAGGAGGAAATTACGGCCAGACCTCCTTCAAAAGTCCGCAAAAAGTATTTTAAACAATGCTACATGCATCTCACATCCATAAAGAAAGAAGAAACAAATGATTTTACACGGACATGGTGGGATACATTCAGAAACTGCGTCAAACGGTGGCTTTTTTTGCAAGGTGGGAATCGGAGAATAGCAGAAACATACAAATTGTCTAGAAATCGAGTTTGACAATGTTCCCGAAGACGCTGGGTTTCACTCCACTTGCTACAGGCGTTTCATTGACAAAAAGCGCTTGGATGCGGCCGAGAAACGGGCCACACAGCGTCCTGAAGCAAAAGATCAAGGCCAGTCTGTGCCATCGGGTAGTAACGTTAGTATCGCTGCAGTTGATTGTCCCGCAAAAAAACTTAGGTCCAGGACCGGCCTGCCAGTAGCTTGTGCTGGTCCTGAGCTTTCTGCCTTGTGCATAATTTGTAAGAAAACGGACAAGTACATTACTGTGGGAGGCAAACGCCAGAAGGACCATCTTTCACAGGCAGAAACGTCAGCACGTAGGTAAAAACAAAACACACATACACACGTTTGAACTTGTATTCCCTTATGCTGGGTACCATGGCTAACTTTCAATTACAATTACATAATTTATGTAATGTTTATTTTACAGTCAGAGACAGATTTGCATTGTTTTGCATACAGCTACAGCCAGAACACTCAATATTGTTTAACTCTTAACACAGTTAAATTTCGATTTAAAGCTTTCGTGACTGCAGGGATTCATCTTCTTGGTTCTTTCGGTAAAGTCATCACGTAGAAGAAGGGAAGTAATAAAATAATAAAAATAAAATAATTCTCACGACGTTTCGGCCACAACGCAAGCAGCCGTCCTCAGGTGAAAACCAGGTCTGTCGAGGCGACAGAGTCTGAATGCTCCAAGCTCGTGTGCTGTTTCATTCAGACTCTGTCGCCTCGACAGACCTGGTTTTCACCTGAGGATGGCTGCTTGCGTTGTGGCCGAAACGTCGTGAGAATTATTTTATTGTTTTGTTTTTATTATTTTATTCCCTTATACGTGACTTTACCGAAAGAACCAAGAAGATCTTAACACAGTTTTTTATTAGTTTAATTAGTATTTATTTATTTGCAGGCAATTTTCTGAAAGCTGCTGAGATGAAGGAAGACACTAGCATTCTTGTGCATATTCGAGACAAAGACTGTGTGTCTCTGGAGGTGCAATACCACAAGGCCTGTTATAGACAGTACACCAGGTTCTTGACAAAGTCTAGTGCATCAGTTACTGTGACCTCAGAAGAACAGTGAGTTAGCAATATTTTATATTAATAAATATTAATTAATAATTCCCTCACATTTTCACATTTTAAAAGTAGGAGGTTGGCCCGTGATTTCCCCCAGCTGGTGTTTCACTACCCCAAGAAGCGCAACATAAGTGAGATGGTTTTCGTTGAGACATTGTCTGCAGATAAGCTGATAGGCTACCTCATCCATCAGGTACAGAAACAACAGAGTCAACTGAGGTAACTAGCGAAAGTAACTGTGAAAACAGGGCTAGTGCAAAAGCTGGTCCACAAAGACCAAGTTCAATGGCCTCCATCAATACTGCAGAGGACACGAGGACACTTTACAGTGCGGCATTAATATTAAAGATGCTTCTGTGTGACTCTCCCAGTATGAAATGCCCGTGGCTACCCACATCAGATGATCTAAATGTGAGCGAGGCAACATCTGTCGTTCCAATTGAACTGTACAATCTGATTTCCTGGATTATTGATGCAACTGAGGAACCAACACTGGCCCATTATGTTGATATTCCAGATGATTTGAACCTAAAAGTGATATCTATCTGTCAAGACATTGTGTATCTTGCATCTAAGGGTCGGAGGCAGACCCCTAAATCATTGTGTCTTGGTCTAACGGTTCGCCATTTAACAGGTTCATCACAAATTGTGTCACTTCTAAATAGACTAGGACATTGTGCAGCATGGGACACAGTTGTCAGTCTAGATACTAGCCTTGCCCAACTTCAACTAGCAGAGGGCAGAGACAAAATACCAAAGGGATTCTCAAAGAAGGTTCCTACAGTACTTGTGTGGGACAATATTGACTTTGGGGAGGAGACACTGTCAGGTCATAGAACTACCCACCACACAAATGGGATTATGCTGCAAAGTTCTGTAGTTGAACCTGTGTCAACAACAAACAGACAACCACTACAGAAGGGAAAACCCTCATTGAAAGTACCCCCTAGCATCCCTGTCGAATAGTACCATCAGTCTAATAGACAAGGACCACAGAACTTGTTTCATCAGGAAAGTGTTCCATTACAGGCGGACACATACAAATTGAACACGGTGTCTGCTGTACAAACTGAACTGGCATATGTTTTTGTAAAGTCCATAGATGCTGAAAGATGCACAATACCAAGCTGGACAGGTTTACATACATTAATTCAAGGTGATGGCACTCTGCAAAAGTCAGCACTGTATTATCTTCCAGTCATTAAGGCTTCACCGACAGAGATGTCAACAGTAAACACAATTCTGAAGCGAAGTGTCCAAATTCATAATCAGCTAGAACTGGACCATATAGTGTTAGTTTTTGACGAAGCTATATATGCCAAAGCTCAGCAAATCTGCTAGAAAGATGATGACTTTACTCAGCGTAAAGCGATTAGACTCGGTGAGTTTCACACATGCATATCCTACCTGAGCATTCTAGGAAAAAAGGTTTGGAGATGCAGGACTGCAAGACATACTCATTGAGTCCAAAGTTGTTGCCCCAGGATCCATCAATGGAGTGATCAGTGGAGCTATTCTCTTTGATGGCATGGCAGTCATTCAAGCCATTCGGTCAATACCAAGTACCTTTGGAGAGCTTGCAGAGACCATACTGCAGTACATAGTCAAACTTGCTCTGAAACAAACTGTACACGGATAGACTTTGTGATTGACCAGTATCCAAAAATGAGTATTAAAAACCTAGAACGGTCACGTAGAGCTGGTGGTGTTACACAACTGGTGAAAGGTTATGGACGGGATCATAAGACATCAACACAATGGAAAAAGTTTATATCAGATGGAACAAACAAAGAAGCACTGACAGAATTCCTCTATGTTGTGTGGCGAGAGGCTGATCTTACCACTGTGGGAAAGGACTTAAGCTTGTACATAACACATGGAGACCTGTGTCACTGCGTGACTGTAATGGAGGATTTACATACTCTCAGTGCTGTTGAAGATCTGACATGTGATCATGAGGAATGTGACACCAGGGTGTTTTTACATGCACAACATGCTGCACAGGAATATCAAACTGTAGTCATCAAGAGCCCTGATACTGATGTGGCAGTGATTGCTTTAAGTCTGCAGCCAGATTTACCATGTAGGTTGTATTTTTTCACGGGGGTTGGCAACAAAACAAGGCTCATTGACTTAGCTAAGGTGTCGTCAGCTCTTGGCACAAGTGTCTGTTTGGCACTTATTGGGATCCATACCTTCTCAGGTTGTGACTCTACAAGTGCCTTTTATGGCAAAGGCAAAATAAAGGCATTTTCTGTTGCTTGTGAGAAAGAGGAATATCTGACTGCTTTTACAAATCTGGGCAGCAGTTTTAACCTAGACCAGTCTACCTTTGAGCTACTTTGCACATATGTGTGCCACCTATATGGCCAGTCATCTGCCGAAAATGTGAACGATGCAAGAATCAAAGCATTCTGTATGGCATCGTCAGCTTTTCCAGAACTATCCATGCCCCTTACAAGTGACGCCCTGTACCAACACTGCAAAAGGGCAAACTACCAAGCAGCCATAATGAGACATTCTCTGAAAATGTATAATGTGTGCCCCTTCACCCGTTGGCAATGGATGGCACCTCGAGGATGGTGAGTTAACAGTGACCTGGATGACTAGAAATCCTGCCCCTGAAAGTGTGTTGCAGGCAGTCCACTGCAGTTGCAAGCATAGCAAATGTGAGACTGGAAGATGTTCCTGTATATCTGCAAGACTGTCTTGTACTGATTTATGTCGGTGCCAAAATTGTGCAAATGTTTCACAGGAAACAGAAGACCTACATGGGATAATGGCTCTGATAGTGATAGGGATGATTACGATGAGTAAATATGCACTGTGTTATAATTTAGGGTGATTTTGAGCTGTAAAGAATCTGTGGTAGAATTGTAATTTTTTTTGGCAGCATTCCAAAACAAGGGGACAGTGTAGCATTTCGAGTCATTTCAGCCAACTTGGGCCAAAGTGTGCTTATATTTGTATCTTTATGTGATTACACAGTACCTACTGAAAATTTTGATGTACAAAACATCACAGTTTTGCTAAATTTTAAATGTTTATGTTTAATTTAGCTTAGTGCCAATCCGTGAAGTTGAAGCATATTGTCTACAAATTTGCCATCTTTCATGGTCTACATTCACACTTGAGTATATAATGCACCAAAACCTGTCTCAAGTGTTTAGGTACATGTATAAGTGTCAGTTTGAGAGATATTTGGTGTTGCTAAAATGTATATAAATAAAGTTACAAACAAAACCAGCAGCATAAGATTTTTGTTTTTTCCAATTCACAATTATATACATTTATGGATTTTGAAAAAAAACTGCAGGGTATTTTGCGGAGAACTTTTAACATAAAGTCGAAAATGGTTTTGTCTATGAAAAAATTCATTTAAAAAGTAGTTCCCAGGTGTGGGAACGAAAATCATTTTCTAGCCACTTTTTCCTTGTTCACCTTACGGCCTATGTTGCTCAATGATCGCAAAACAACGCACGTGGCACGCGCGTGGCATGTCAGGGGCCGTCCATAAATGACGTCACGCACCTGGGGGGGGGGGGGTCAGACACAGGGGCGGTTTCTTCATTAGGGCGATTGGGCGACGCACCACCAATCTCAGCCGTTACTGTGCCTCTGGATATAGTCCAATCAGCGTCATGTCACGTTCTGTGGAGTACCGCCTCTTTTTGGGCGATTTCACTCTGGCTGAGAATCGCCCAGAGTGTTCCCATAGACTTACATTCAAAGATGTTTTTTTTCGAACGGCGGGCGCTCCAATGCATTCTCTATGGCTTCCGGGAGGGCTCGCACTAACGTGCTTACGTCATCATACGTAAGCACGTTTCAGTCAACAATATTATTTGTCGCCACCTAGTGGAATCTTTAATAAAAAGAAACTGAGTGGATTGTAATAATAGTGAGATAGAAACAAACAAGATGTATTGTAAGAGTCACTTTATTTTTCATTAATATTAAAGAAGTGAAGTTGCCTTTACATGCTTAAGCTGTTAATTTATCCATTGCATGGGTGGACCTTATCCTTATCAATCATCCAGACATTTGCCCCCCCCTGAGAGATTTTGCAGGAGCCGCCACTGGTCAGACATTTGTGACGATGTGTGACGAGGGGGGGGGGATGAGAAATGTGACGTCACATCAAAATGCGCAACTTTAAATATATACAACACGTTCTACTTAATTAAATAGACGTTTTAATAAATGTTTTCTCCTACAACATCAGAGTGCAGCGCCACATTAAATACGCACTAAAATGACAATAGTTTAAAGCGATTTGAAGCATGTTTTATTTTGGGGGGGGGGGGGGCAGAGCTTTGTGACGTCATATTTGAGGGGGGGGGGTCTGACTTTTTGTGACGCCGTGTGACGAAGGGGGGGGGGGGTCAAAAATCGTCAAAAATCGCGTGACGTCATTTATGGACGGCCCCTGACGTGGCACGCGCGTGGCATGCCACGTGGCCCTGCCCAGCACTGAACGCGTCACACACCCAGGGCCTCGTCGTCTGAGCTGGTTCCGTCCAGACGGGGCTCGGGGTGGAGGCCGGGCAAAGGAGTGGGTTGTTCCATGGGTCAGGTCGCTCCGCTCACTCACTGTCACCGCTCACTCATCACACTGCTCACTGTTGTCACTGCTCACGCTCCCTCGAGGACCATTCTCGCAGTTGCATCACCACCATCATTTGGCATTGGATGTTTTCTCATTGTTACAGAGTCAAAGCATCGTTTAAGGACCCCGTTCTTATGGTCTCATCACGACCACACGTGGGCTTGAGACCGTCCCCTTTATACGACAGCCGACAAGCCTTTCGAGGGTCATTGTGTCATCACTATATCTTTATCAATTCCCTTTGCTACAAAGCATCCTGCAAGGACCACTCTCACGGTTTCATCATCGTCACCATCTGCTGGCACCCGGCCCTTCCTCTTGCTTCTTCGTCTTCTTGGTTGCTTCAAATGTAACCAAACGGCGGTGGAACACATTGTCTTGCGGAGGGAGCTGGTAGGAACGTTGGGTTGCTCGGTCAATGGCCAGAGTCAACAGCGGCGTGGTGTATTCCGCAAATATGCCCGACTGTGAGGGCGGGCACAAGCCGGCGTGAGTAGGTTAAACGTTGAGTTTTATAAGGGCACCACGGGGTGACCAGCCCCTCCCCACCCAGCCCCACCCCTCCCCCAGCCCCACCACCCCCACCCAGCCCCTCCCCACCCTCCCACCCTCCCCACCCAGCCCCTCCCCACCCTCCCCACTCAGCCCCTCCCCACCCTCCCCTTCCCACCCAGCCCCTCCCCACCCTCCCCTACCCACCCAGCCCGTCCCCACCCACCCAGCCCCTCCCTCCCCACCCAGTCCCTCTCTGCAGGACGGACGGACACAATAATCAATCCCCTGTGGGCTGGTGTAACCAGGAGGTTCCTACCAGTATAATAGAGGCACGTGCTCAAAGCGCCATAGTTGGATATTCCCGTATCGATGCAGGTAGCAAGCATCATCTCAGTTTGGGCTGAGAAATTGTCATTTTATTTTAGGGACGATATGAGCGGTCAAAAAAGAGCTGGAAAAAAACTTGGTAAAAATAAAGTTTGTGATTCACCAAAGTACTACTGAAATGTACAAAAAAATTCACTGCAATACAATTAGACAAACTGCAATAACGTGTTTTAGTCTATATTCACACGACGTAGACGTGGTTGAAGTTGGAATTTGACAACATTTAAACAGCTCTCAGAGGATTGACTTGCCTCTGCTGAGATCCTGGGTTTGAATCTGGCTTTGAGCCACCCGTGATTAAACAGGTGAGTACGCAAGTTAATGGCGATTAATTTTTCTCAGCCCATTCACAACTTTACTGCACCGACAAACAAAAACAACATTTTAATATAAGTTTATTTTTCCACAAAATTGCAGCTTTGGGAATTACAAAAAATCGAGTTGACTCTTCATGCGACGAACATCCCTATAACAGAAGGGCGAGTGTAAAAGAGCACTCCAGTGTATGGATTAGGTTACTTGATGGGAACTCAGAAGTAGTTCTCTCTTATCTTCTACCACGGGCAGTGCTCTCTAACATGGGGTGATACACTTCTCTGCAATGGTTCTCAGTGGATAATTCATATCATGAAACTAGATTCACAGCACAAGTGGAATAACGTTGGGGGGGGAAAGAACCGTATTTGAATTTAAGAAACACACAAAACAATAACCACTTTCAAGGAACTCAACATTACTTGAATAATGCATTCCGTAAAATAAACTTGGGGCTGTGTGAGGCTTGGGAATAGTACAATTTATTTATTTTTCACTCTCACCATATACAATCGTCTGTTATATCCATTAATATTAACGTGATGGCGCTTTGGGTGGTGGATTCATGCCAGAAAGGAGCCCCTGACCCGGACGTGTTTAAGCAAAAAAAAAGGTGAAATCGACTTTGACTTCATGGGGAATTCGGAGCCCACAGCTCACTTGGCCGTGTTGCGAGGGCGGATGCCCAGCTTGTAGAACACCGGGGCACGGCTGAGACCCTCGGCAGCTACAAAGTTGGGCCGAGAAGTTGCGTCGGGCCAATGGAACTTGAAGCGCTGCAGCAGAGACGTGAAGAACAGGAAGAGCTCCATCCTGGCCAGGTTCTCTCCCAGGCACACACGGGGACCTGGGGGTGGGTGGGGGGAATGAGGATTTGCGTTCTTCTTTCGTATGACAGGACGGAAAAGCGATTAGAGTATTTATAGAACGCTTGCTTGGATGCCTGAGCAAATCACGCCGACTTACATCACGTCCGACCGATCGCAAAGCGCGCCAATGCTCTGCAGCCTAGCCAAGGAAATCCCCTGCGGCAGCTGTCACCGGGGCTGTCCCGAGGGTGGGTGGGGGGGGAGTAGAATGCTCACGTGAGCCTCCCCTTGTTCAATCGTGTGACAAAAACACGGGCCCATCGCGGGGTCCTCTTTTGTGCGAGCCCCGGGGGAAAATGACCTCCCTTGGCCCACCCCGCATCTGGGCGGCCCTTGGCTAACCCGGTGCAGTGCAAAGGTGTTCGGAGCGCCGGCTTGGCAGTCGGTGGCGGTGTTACGAGTCGGGGGCATTGCCACGTACCAGCAGAGAAGGGCAGGAAGGCGTCAGGCTTGACAAACTGGCCCGTTTTATCCAGGAAGTGGTCGGGGTTAAATTCGTCCGGCGTTTTCCACTGAGTCTCGTCGTGCAGAACCGACGTCAGGTTAAGTAACACCTTTGTTCCCTGCAGACAAATGAAAGTTGTTAACCTACGTAAGTATGTAAACATAACATCGTGTCTATTTAGTTGTATTTTTAATGCTTGTTTACCAAGGAATGCCCGAGTTTGATGGCTTTTTCAGTAAGCTCCTGCCAAATTTTCACAGCAGAGGGACGATTCTTGCGATAAACCTCCCAATTGAGTAATTTTGTGGGTGTCATTGCAAAGAGAGACGTCAAAGTCTTAAAAGTAATTTCAAATCTTGACTTAAAGCTTTCGTGACTGCAGTAATTCATACCCTTTGGGTCTTTCAGTAAAGTCACGGAGATAGAAAAAAGAAAAAAAATCACGACGTTTCGATCGCAACACAAGCAATCATCTTCAGGTGAAAAAATACAGCAGGCGACCTGCTGGGGCAGGAGAAATATAGTGGGAGAGCTGCTGCGACAAGAGGTTATATAATAGGTTTCAGATGGGTGCAACCCAAAGGTAAGTGGGCGGGGCTAGAGATGTAATTTGCATGTAAATGTAAGATCGCAATGTGGCAGAAGCAGTTAGATATTTTTTTTAAAAATCATATAGATTTCGATAACGTGTAAATTTCCTTTACATTAGCGTGAAAAGCAACGTCACTTTTACAGGCACGCAAAATAAAAAAAACCCACACAGGTGTCTAAATCTACGCAAGTTAACCTTGGGAATATCGTATCCTCGAAACTTGACGTCGGTGGTGGTAGAATGCAAGACGCCCAGCGGGGCAACGTTGGCCATCCTCTGGGTTTCGTGGATCACAGCGTCGGTGTACGGGAGGTTTGCTCGGTCCGTCGTGTTTGGCGAGCGATCGCCGCCAATCACCTCGTCGATCTCTCTCTGACAGCGCTCTGCAACGATCAGCGTGGTAAGCTACGTATGGTGTGAAAGAAGGTCAACATACATGCATACCAAAGAGCCCCCGTGTACGCTTAACAGCCGTTGCGGCAAGTGCTGTTAGCGAGCAGCACCTATGAAGTCCGGCATGGCACACGAGAGCGTGGGTGGCCAGCACCACCCCAGGCCGCCTTTATCTCCCCACTGGCGATGTTTACTACACACCTCACCAGGTACTTATTTGAGGCTGAGTCGACCTAGGGGAGGCCCAGGACCGGTTCAGATAACCGTCGCCGGTGTTGGTCGTGAGCGGGAATCGAATTCGTGTCGCCGGGTTCGTAAGCGCAGCGCGCCGACCGCTGCGCCACCGCTCCTCACAGCGCTCTGCAGTGCAGGTGCGGGGAGCAACGGGCCAAACCTCATCCTAAAACCAAGAGCCAGCCGCCACTCGCAGCAAGGTCACCTGTCAGGGGGGTAAAACTGCAGCCCTCGGAACTGATTTCTCACACCACTCATGGCCAAAAGGGTCCCTCCCCCAACTCCAGGCACCTATAGAAAACGCCTCCTCCTAAGGAGGGCAGTTAGGCCTATTCGTCCGTGGTGGCCAGATGTCTTAGAAGAGATGGGAGTACCCACACTGCACCCCACCACCACACAAGACCTACCAGCCGATCGACCAACTGTGGGTGCACACCGGTGATGCTGCTGGGTGGACAGGGGGGAGGGGAGCAGGGGGATTTAAGAAAGGCGCAACGTTGTCTCAGCTGCCGCACGGTCGGATCGAATTGGCGACCTCTGGATCGCAAGTCTGGCGCGATGACCATTATTGAGTTAAACCGTTAGAGCCAAAACACGAGGCGTGGAAACAAAGTTCGTGTTTCGCTGTTCAAAGAAGCACGTGGTGTTACTTGTATGTGTTACTGGCCCTCAGACAATGATGGAAATTCCACATTCCCATGGTAGGGACCATGGAACAATCAAAGTTGGCTTCCCACAAAGTGATACTCATTTTGATCGACCCCCAAAGAGTTGAGTTGACTCCCAACTAAGATTTGAACCGAACGGCCAGTCAACGGCTCTTACCGTAGCACCACCGAGATTCCATTATAACAGAACACACACATTTAAATCCAAATCGTTGTTGTTGTTGCTGGAGGCATATTCACAACTGACGTCAGACGCTTTCACAAAACCGTACCCTGGATGTGGGGATAGGCCATCATGTAGAGCAAGGCCCATCTCAGGGTGGTCGAGCTGGTCTCGGTGCCAGCTATGAACAGGTCTCCGACCACGTTGAGCAGATTTCCATCGGTGAAGGTGGACTCTGGGTCCTTGCTCTCCTGCACGGCGCGCACAACGCAGCATCCTCGTTTTACGTTTTTCGTGATTCAAGAACCCAAATAACGTGAAACAAACCCGGAGGGATAGACCCTCGAAATTAGGGACCGACCGGGGGTGTGTCCGGGCTCGCCGCCCTACCCGTCGTCGGCGTAATGATCGGGAGCAGGGGTGGTTACGGGGAGGGACATCCTCGCAATACTCTTAGGGGCATTCCTACATGGGGGCTATACCTAATAAATAAACTTGAAAACTTGAGACATTTAGCTAAGACCCTGGCCCCCAATTGCCATTTACTGTAGCTACAGGCCCAATTTTGGACACCTTCTACTTGAGCGGGGGGGAGGGGCTACTGACATTGGTGAGCGTGTGGTCGTAGTGGGCGGAGCTTGTGGTGGTGGACGGGGCTTGTGGTGGGCGGGGCTTGTGGTGGACGGGGCTTGTGGTGACGGGCGGGGCTTGTGGAGATGGGCGGAGCTTGTGGTGATGGGCGGGGCTTGTGGTGACGGGCGGGGCTTGTGGTGATGGGCGGGGCTTGTGGTGATGGGCGGGGCTTGTGGTGATGGGCGGGGCTTGTGGCTGTAGTGGGATGACTCTATCTGGCCTTTAACATTGAACAATCTATTTGGTGATACACCATCGGCAGTGGTACACAAATTATAATCATAACAAAATAATAAAACCTCAAAATAGGACGGGATGTGCTATGAAGAAGGGCTACTGCCCGAAACGTCTATAGTAATCGGGGGCATCCTTATTCTGGGCGGGGTTTCTCCGAATTGTGTGGGCCTTGTCGGAGTGAGGCGATCTTCTCTCTGGAGCGGGCGAGAGATGCCAGTTCAGTTTGCGCCGAGGACTGCTTCTAGCGCATTGTGTCACCGTGCCCTCGTTGTGTTACAAAAAATAAAATAAAAACTTAGAATTAATATACACAAATAATTAAAAAGACGTAAAAAAAACTGTGGAAAGTCTCGCCTTCTCCATCTCGTCCAAGTAGGCGTCGATCAGGTCCCGCGGTCGGCCGGCCTCGCGTGTTTGCCGGTGCTCACGGATGCGCTCCTGAAAGAACAGCTTCACTTTGTCCGCGTTCTGGAAGATAATCTGGTGAGGGCCGGGCCAGTCTTCCAGCCATGGCATGAATATGCATATCTGCGGAGAGGCATGAGAAATTAGACCATCCAAAAACGTGCGTTTACATTGCGCCCATAACGTTACAAACATCCCCGACGTTACGAACATCCCACTGACGGCAGTTGTTCCAGTGCCGGCACAAGGTGAACATGGCACAAGGGGCTACTGGTCTGCCAGTCGGCGGGCGATGCTGCCAATTGTTTTTTTACCTTTAATTGATGTGCGGTAAATTTTTCTCATTTGGACGGTGACGCCCGGCACACGTGGCCAACTTCTCTCTTCTGAGATAGCGTCATGGGATCTTTAACGTCCACCGTAACGCAGAGGGCGCACGTTTTTTGGCGGCTACGCGCCTGCAGTATTTACTGGGGCGGCCAGGGCTTTGAGCCGCAAAGAAGCGGCAAACGCGATAACGCTCGGCCACGTCGCAAGCCTCGGGGCTGAGTCGTCTGAACTGACGGCACAGATTACACGCCGTGATCAAAGTGTCGTCGTTGCCGCCCAACCGGCTTGAGCGTGTTCTCGCCGAATAAAAGCATCTTGCGTGCATTCGCCTTCAAGCACAGCCCACGTGGCACGATGTTCAACGTTTAGCTCCACATGCTGGGATCTTCTTCAGTGAAGTCAGTTCCTGAAGTGGACATTCAGTTCCTGAAGAAGCTCCCAACACGTGGAGTGAAACGCCTGACACAATGCCTAGTAACAAACCTTCATTCGTCGTGCGTGCAATGTGAGTACAACTAAAAAAAACGCAGCGTCACCGCTTCACCTAACCGTGTCTCGACTCGTTCGTCGCGTTTGACGTCGGCTGCACGCCAACATCACGGCTCGGGTTGTGCAGTGGAAAAAGCAACCCGGCACCTCTCAGAGCAGCACCGGGCCGGCCCGGCACGACAAACACTTCAAATAAAAGTCTTATAAGCGAACGCTCGTTGAAGATTCAACTCCGCTTGCCTTCCCTCTCCAGCCGCCTTCGATCCTGAAGTTATCGGCGAAGAGTTGCAGAAAGTCGCGGAAGCGCTTGTCGTCGTAGTCAAAGCGGTTCCCAAACACGATTGAGCAGATGATGTTTGACACGGCATTGTTGATGTTGAAGTGGGGGTCGAAGGTATCACCTGCAACCAGACACGACGGATAACATTTGCCAACAGCGATTTCCACTACGCTACTGCAGTGATCTAATGTGCGCGTGTATGTTCAACTTCTTGCGCACCGTACGTAGCCAACCGTGCTAATCGGAGTTGCGTGGGAAGGACAACAAACTAAACACAACAATTAAGAGTGAATAGCCCAGTGGCTTCTGTAAGCACTGCGCGGTGCGGTGACCGCCGCCTTTGTTCGATGGTCAGCCAAAATACGCTGCTGCGAGGATGACCGGAGTTCGCTTGATGGTTTTGACGAGATCAGCAAGGCATTGTGGTTCATTTGTGGCAAGCACACTGGACTCGCAATCCAGAGATTGCTGGTTCAATTTGATCTCCGCCTCTGCACATCAGGCAGCATGCATACACAACGGTGAGCCAATCAGTAGGTCAGGATCAGAATATTTATTTTACTGGAGGAATCCGATGAGCTATAAAGCTCTTTTTCCCCCCACAGACGTCTAGTTCACATCTGGTTGGGTACAGTAAAACAGCCTACGGAATAAAATGGCGCATTTTTGTGCACGACGCACACTCGAGCGACTTGCCACCTAACTCAACGGCAGCTCGTTCGTACGTATGGGCATGTCGAGCTTCTCTCGCACCGTACGTAGCCAAATGTGCCAATCGGAATGCATCGCTTCACGCGAGTGATATGCGATGGCTGTCGTGCTGAGCACTGGGTTGAGGCGGCGGAAGAGGGAGGAAAATTGCGGGGGGTGAGTGCGATGGGCGTGGAAGTGCGGAGCTGGGCTGGCATGACTTTGCAGTTCCCCGGTCGGCTGGTGTTTTGTTACGACGGCCCGTGAAGACGAATTAAATCATTATAGTGGGGGGCGCTGGGGATGGGGGAATGTTTTGGGGCTCAGCACAGTGATGCGGCTCGCGTTCCCAAGCGTTTGTGCGCTCGCTCGCTCACCGGACTCCCGGAATGTCTGGACGAGGATGGCCACCTCCTCGTTGATCTTCTCCTCCAGAGACTTCTTGCCGAGACCGAAGTTGCGCAGCGTGGAGAGGGCGAAGCGCCGCTGCTGCTTCCAGCTGTGGCCGTACCCCGCCGTGATGATGCCTGCAGCGAAGCGACCGTTGCAGATTGCACGTTCAAGTCTGGCCGCGCGATGTCGGGTATCTACAGCCGTACCGCTGCTGACCTAGCAAGTCTGGGTTTGCAATTGTTGTTTTTGTTTGCCTCTCAAGTGTATCGTGTTCGAACAACACACACGGGGGGGGGGGGGGGAAGTGTGGCTATTTTCATCAGACATTTAAGAGTTGCCGAATTGCGAACGTGAAAATTCAATCTGTTTATCACGTAACCGACCGCTGCCCTCCACGGCCGCCCAGAGGAGCGGGTAGAAGAGGTTTGTGAATGATGGGGTATGGTGGTGACCCCAAGTGGCCTCTAGGAACCGCTGTACGGCCCTGCTGCCAGTATACTAAACATTCAGAGATGTAAACAATCATCGCTTTATAATAGACTTCATTCATTGATCGTGAGCCATGATCTATCCTCTTCTGGATGAGCACCCCGCACCCGAGCCGTCGCCATCTCTCACGGCCTCGCGATGCGACGATCTGCCCGGCACGCTCACACGAGCCCATTTCATCGCTCCATCTTTCACGATGGACGTCCTGAACTAAAACTTTTATTTTACCAGGTAAGGCCCACTCATCTATCTAGCTCTTTTTGAGAAGCGACCTGGCCACAAATGATAGCTCAACGAAGTGGCTTATCATCACGTGGAAATTTATAGCAGCCAAATATTCAAAATGTGTAATGTTGGATTCTAAATGTGGAGGGAAAAACTGGAGGACCCTGAGAAAAATCCACACGACCACTGGGAGAGAGACACGCAGACTCCAAATATACAGCAGCAGGCGTCAAGGTCGTGATCAAACCCACGACCTCCTGCATACCTGGTGAGGGATTTAACATCTTGCTACCGCGGCACTTACACAGCAGCGACGATTGCTATACAGGAAGCAACTCCTGACACCATCGAATGGTTTCCAGGACTCAGCGCCAATCTACAATAAGCAGTGGAAAAGTGCCGCTATGCGACGGTATGCCATGCCGGCATTTCCATAAACACCAAATACGTAAACTGGCACTTTTCATAACGGATCCTATTCCTGTGCCACAATGTTTCTGCAGAAGGGAATCGCCAGTGAAGATGGGCTGCAGGACGATTAGGTTTCACGCAATTTTCACTTCAAACCTAATATTGTCCCAAATACTACAACGCATTCGTCAATACCACTGCCTTAAAAAAGAAAAAAAGTATAAATATACTAGGCGATGCTTCAGGTAATGGCCCTACTTCACAGCAACGTAGAGCAAGCACGTGGTGGAGAGGCCGTCGCTCTTCAAATGCCACGTGGACAAAGAGCGGAAGGAGTCGAGCGGCTCACCGAGGCCCTCCGTGATCTTGGAAATCATCGCCATCCAGGGGCGGTCGGCAAACTCCTTGGCGTGGTTCACCAGCGCATCCCTCACGGCATCGAAGCCATTGATGACCACGCACAGCTCGCGGCCCAGCAGCAGGCTGTACACGTCCCCGTAGCGCTTCGAGAGCTGCGTACAGACGTCGAAGGCGAAGCGATTTATGGTTTCTGCTCACGTGAGCATCGAGTCGACAGTCATCGCCTGTTCACAGCCCCGAGTCAGTGGTGGTGAATTCTGCATTCCTATGGCGGGGTGGGGGGGAGTCTGTCCATAGACCAACCGCTGTTGACGTGTCCACAAAATGGTAACTATATTATCGACCCCGGAGGGATGATGGGCTGAATTAAAACCCAACCAGAGTTTGAACTCGCAACCTCTTTAATTACGAGCCGATAGCTGAACCGCTGGACCATCCCACTGGCATACAGATGGGGCAGCACATTCCGATGATGTGGCCAGTTATCGAACAATAGCCACCGGTTGGGGCAAGGGGTAATTGCTGTTGTGGATGAATGATTTGTGAGACATTTGGAATCTTTTATTAATCCCAAGGGTTGTGTTTACCATTGTTGCCAGAACATACTAAGCTTTACCTGGATAAGTGCAAAATACATTTTTCAAGTCTCCCTATTGCTAAACTTAGGGGTGATTACATCATAAAATAATTTGAATTTCTAAAGCAATCTTGTACGACTTTCTGGTGGTGATAATTTACGAAATTAATTTTTTCCCCACAATTTCTTTCAAATTCTGCGAGCAGTTATCACGCCATGAGAACTCCCACTGAGCGACGCAATCTGCTTCCACCCCTCGGAAGCAGATGTATGTACACTATATGTAGTTTGAACTTCTTCCGCGCCGTACGTAGCCAACTGTGCTCATCGGAGGACAGTTGGCTAAACACAAAAAGTAGCCCCAAAGAAATGAGCTTTCAATCGAGATGATTTAAAAGTGCATAATTACAGCGGCTTCATAAGGGGCCGTCCATAAATGACGTCACGCACCTAGGGGGGTGGGGGTCAGTTTTGTGACGATGTGTGACGAGGGGGGGGGGGTTGAGAAATGTGACGTCACATCAAAATGCGCAACTTTAAATAAATATAGAATTGTTATAACAACACTAATTGTTATAACAACACTCCTACAACATCAGAGTGCAGCGCCACATTCAATACGCACTACAATGACAATAGTTTAAAGCGATTTTAAGCATGTTTATTTTCAAAATAGAAATATGGTTTAGAGGGGAGGGGGCAGAGCTTTGTGACGTCATATTTGAGGGGGGGGTCTCACTTTTTGTGACGCCGTGTGACGAGGGAGGGGGGGTCAAAAATCGTCCAAAATCGCGTGACGTCATTTATGGACGGCCCCTAATATCGTAAGGAGGAGCGTTCCAGACGGCCGCAGAAGCGCGTCTGAAAGCGCCACGCGATGCGGTGACCGTCACCGAACAACAAGAATTCGCCACCTTGTGCAGGGCCGTGCCGGGCTCCTGCGTGGGCAGGGAGCCCAGGTTGCCCAGCAGGGGCAGCGCCGTGGGGCCGGGCGGGAAGCCGCGTGGCCGCTGGACCTTGCGCCACTCGAGCAGCAGCAGGAAGGTGGCGAGGAAGACGAGGCAGGTGGAGAGCGACGGCGAGATCAGGGTCGAGGAGAGGGCGTCCAGCGCGGAGGAGCCCAGCGACGCCGCCATGGCAGCCTGGCAATGAGGACGAGGGCAGCGGTGAGTGGGTGGGTCAGTAGGTCGGTGGGTGGGTGGGTCAGTGGGTGGGTAGGTGGGTGAGTGGGTGGGTCGGTGGGTGGGTCAGTGGGTGGGTCGGTGGGTAGGTGGGTCGGTGGGTGGGTCAGTGGGTGGGTCAGTAGGTCGGTGGGTGGGTGGGTGAGTGGGTCAGTGGGTAGGTGGGTGGGTCGGTGGGTGGGTGGGTGAGTGGGTGGGTCAGTGAGTCGGTGGGTGGGTGGGTCAGTGGGTGGGTCAGTGGGTGGGTGGGTCACTGAGTGGGTGGGTCAGTGGGTGGGTGGGTCACTGAGTGGGTGGGTGGGTCAGTGGGTGGGTGGGGTGGAGTAAGAGAGGGTGGGTGGGTGAGTGGGTGGGTGTGGTGGAGTAAGAGAGGGTGGGTGGGTCAGTGGGTGGGTGGGGTGGAGTAAGAGAGGGTGGGTGGGTCGGTGGGTGGGGTGGAGTAAGAGAGGGTGGGTGGGTGAGTGGGTGGGTGGGGTGGAGAAAGCGAGGCGATGATTGTTGGAGACGGAGTGCGACGAGCAGCTGATTCAGGAAGAGGTTAGAAGAGGGAGGGAGCGTGTGGCGGAGTTGGAGAGAGGATCAAGATGTGGACCCGTGCCGTGAAATAAAAAAACCCTGAACCTCGTGGAGAAAGAAAAGGGCACATAGTCTTCTTTCACGTGCACACATGAACACACTCCAGGGAGCAGGCACATGAACATCCACAGGAACATTCGCGTGAACACGTACGAGCACACACTCTCCACACAAAGCACATGCCGACACACGCTCAACAAATAGTCTGCACACTTCCCCGGATTGAAATACACACTGCACTCACCTGGCCCCCCTCACTCACCTCGCTCCCTGCTTGGTGGAGGAGTCTCGGGCGGGCACGGAACGGAGAGAGAAGTCCGCTGCTGGGGTCGTTCACCTGCAACTGCTGCCGCTGGACTCGGGCACACGCGGCTTGTTGGGGGGTGTTGACACCCGGGCAGGGCTCAGGATCTAAACAACAACAACAACAGCAGCAGCAGCTCTGGGGTGGTGGTGTTGGTGTCACGCAGTTGCATCGCTCTCGACGCGGCGAGAAGACGTCGCAACGTCCGCCCAACGTTTAGAATGTTCTGTGGGGGGAGGCGGGGGGGAGTAAAAAGTGACCGGGTGTTTTTTGTTATTTTTTTACAAATCTGGTTTCGGGTGGTTTCATCTTAAACATTCCGCAGCGAGGTTTGCACGCAACTTGGTTCGCAACGAGCAAAGCGCGTCTCTCATTCTCCCTCCCGTGACTCCGTGTCCCTTCCCTGCACGGAGACGTCTCGCGTCCTGTACCCCACGGCGACTTGACAAATATTTATCTCGACAACATCAGTGAACGACTGACGACACCCCGAGCGGTGACGCTGGCGAGGTAGCAAACGATGAGTGGTAGTCGTGAGCAGGAGAGAGGCTGACAACCAAACTCCCTGAACTCAACACCCCATTTACGAAAACGCAACAACACCCATCAATAGCGCGGCCTTGAGAAGGAGTAAACCCACACAGTATACAGCAGTGGTGAGATGTTAACTACCTCGCCTGGTATGGAGGAGGTCGTGGGTTCCATCACGACCCTGACGCCTGCTGCTGTATATTTGGAGTCTGCGTGTCTCTCTCATCATCATCATCACGGTGGCTATGAGATGTTAACTACCTTGCCTGGTGTGCAGGAGGTCGTGGGTTCCATCACGACCCTGACGTCTGCTGCTTTTACTTTGGTGTTTATTGGTAAGGACTCTAAGTTTACGAATTAAAAACTAAAAAATCTTCACATTTTCTTCCCCTTGCTGTAAACAAATATACTTAAATGTGGCAAATAGGAATTCCAAATTACGCTTTTGTAAATCTCATCACTTTGCAAAGATTGGGGAAATGCATTGTTACGTGGTATAAAATAAATCAAACGAAGCGTCATAGCGCACGTGCAGCGGAGATGATCGGCACCATCGCGAGCTCTGACTTTCGAGTCTGGGTGGAACTGGCCCACAGTGGTGTGGCTCCGTGTGCCGAGTCTAGAGTTGTTCATTGTTCAGCCGCGGCCGCACGGTCGCATTTCCTCCTCCCTCCTTTCTCGTTTTTCCTGCTTTGAAATTGTTTGTGAGAGAGGCGAGGAGGAGGGGGAAGCGATGAGGTGGTGCGCCATACCAAGGCGCTGTGGGTAGCTGACCCGCTACCACGCACACGGGCCGTCAGGGGACAGCCGAGAGAGAGCGAGGTGTGTGGGGGGTGACCGAGGGTCAACCCCCCTCCCCTCCGTGACCGGGGGTTGACACCCCAGACCCTCCCAGGGGCTGGGGGCTAATGCCCCCCCCCCTACCACTTCCTAAGATCCCTTAAGATAAGACCTTCTAGAAGGTTCTAAGGCATCTGAAGATCTGCAGACTGGACCAAGCGACCTCGTGCAGCACGGGTTGTCGCGGAGCAGTCGAGCTCGCTGGGACCCCCTGGGACCCCCTGGGACCCTCCCCGCGGCTCTCGCTAAGCCGGGGTTGAAGCGGGCCAGGGCGAGACCCGTACCCTGCCTGGGTGGGTCGGTCGGTCCAGCCTTCCGCCGTCGCAAGCGTAGCCGGCGTGTAGCGTAGCCCAGCGTACGCAGTAGTATATGCCGAGTTTAAGAGTTGTTATAATAAAACGCGTTGCCTCCGAAGAAGTCTCCGTGTGGTTAGTTCGAGGACACACCAGAGGCACGGCTGCGGTCGGGTTTGGTCCACGCAACAACAAAAAACAACAAGCTGGGCAGGCAGCTCGATTGGCCCAGGCTCTGTTGCAGCATTTTCGCGGATCGGAATTTTTCCCACGGCCGCCCCGATTAATACGGCAAGTGTATTCTAAATATCTGACTGGATCCGACTAGGGATCATCGGTAGTGAAATGTGTAGCAGCAGCAGCAGCAGCGACCATACCTGTCTGCCCATACGGTTTACCCGTATTCTTGTACAGGTACAGAGAAATTAAGTTTTCAGGTCCATGCGACGAACAGGCATTTAAATACGGGTTTTGTAGGTTGAACGTTGAGATCTATAAGGGCACGGGGTGACCAATGAGGTCTGAATTGATTGGTAATAAGTAAGGCATTGATAAGGGGTTGACATATTTTAATTGAGCATTCGTACCCTTAAGTGAATGTGTAACTTTGCTGAGTAACTTGCAGCTGTTCGCGGACGAGAAAGTTTGAGGATGTTGCATGTTTAACTAAGGCATGCTGGCTGGTCGGTTGCTGTAAAATCTGTGGGTTCCGATGTCGATAATCAGAACACATGGCCCGTGTGTGCATATGGAATCTCTTTACGGTACAGCAGAGGGCGACGCAGCAACATCCGTTTGTTGTACTGAACCTCTATGTTCCAACGTCTACGCTTTCCCGGCTTCAATTCGCACTGACCAGCGTGGTGGAGTATGGTCAAAATAAATGCTGCCAACCTGTGCAGAGTGGAGGCCCTCATCCAGCAGTGGATTGGCACAAAGGGCTGCGACATGTCCACTACTCGGCACATGTATGATCCACTGGGATGTGTTTGGGGGTGACAGAAAAATTCAGTCCTCTAGCTAGTACCGATTTTAGGCTATCGGGGGTTGTGCTGTTTCTCTGATTGATAGTATGGATTCCTGCAGTCACGAAAGCTTCAAATCAAGATTGTAATGTCTTCTTGGTTCTTTCGGTAAAGTCACGTAGAAGGGAAGTAATAAAATAATAAAAAGAAAACATAATAAAATAATTCTCACGACGTTTCGGCCACAACGCAAGTAGCCGTCCTCAGGTGAAACCAGGTCTGTCGAGGCGACAGCGTCTGAATGAAACAGCACACGTGCTTGGAGCATATATATAAGCTGGGTTGGAAGGGGGGGAGGGGAAAGGGGGCGCCTTGACAAAAGAATTTGTATATCAAGAGGAATCCAGCATGGCGTTGTGGCCGAAACGTCGTGAGAATGATTTTATTATGTTTTATTTTTATTATTTTATTACTTCCCTTCTACGTGACTTTACCGAAAGAACCAAGAAGATGAATCCCTGCAGTCACGAAAGCTTTAAATCGAAATGTATCCCTGTCTCGCGTGCGTTTTGCAATGACAGCAGAGCTGCACGGCGTGCTCGGGCCACGTGACTTTGACCACGTGGCAAAAGTCCAAATAGATCAACAAACATTTTCTCCATAAAAGATCTCTCTTCGCGTTACAAAAAAAAGCATAAAGTATCCTTTACACAATCCGTGGGCCACGTGGTATTCTTGGAGGGCATCGTTTCAGGAGCATTGATTCAGCACGAGCAAAATTCTTGGGACGGATTTTGCCTTTCAGTGTCTCATTGGTAGCCAGGCTTTACCTTGACTCAACGCCGGCAAACCGCAGCGCAAGAGGGCATTGAGCTGCGGGTAGGTGGCGGTGGTGCCGTTTGTCGTTCCAAAAGAGTAGTCGCTTTTCAGCGATGACTGAAGGGGGGTGGATTAACAAGCACACGACTATCAGCTAACGACGACCCAACCAGAGATCGGAGCTCAACTATGACAAGACGAAATGAGCTCGTGTGAATGAAGACACGGGCTAAGACAATTTGGTAATTTTATTTGAGATTTGCAGTGCACCGCGGAAAGTCATAAATTGGATATGGATATATCATTCGGGGCGAGTTTTAGATTTTGGAAAAAAAAGTTTCAGATCCCTTTTGCATAAATTATATCATGCAATAATGTCATGTCAGCATAGTCTGAGATGGGCATAAAGTAGATGTCAAATGTTTCCGTGTCGAAGATGAGAAAGAGGATGTTTTGATACTTGGCTAAGATACTTGTACGGCAAGTCCTCGCTTAACGTGTGTTCACACGATAACGCGTTTTCGCAATTACGCGGTTCTTCCACCGGGGAACACTTTGCAAAACGCAGAATGTGTCCGTTACAATGTGGAACGCGCTCGTCACAATGCGGAACACGGCTGTTACAATGTGGAACGCGCCTGTTACAATGCAGAACGCGGCTGTTACAATGCGGAATGCACCCCCCCCCCTCATCACGTGGTTTCATGAGCAGTCGACGACGAACTACTTAAGCTGCACGGCCGAGCGGTGCGATACGGCGGCGTACCCTTCGTTGTTTGTCCCACCCTCTCACCGCGTGTGCGTAGTGATACATCGTAACTCGCACACACTTTACCGTGACGTTATTAAAAGGGGAAATCGTTTTGCTGAACGCATTTTTCCGCTATACATCTGATTTGGTTGCCTAAAATAACGTCTTTAAACTCACGGTCTCTTCACTCGTTACTTTCACTGCACATACATCCACCCTCTTTTGTAGAATGTGTACCACCAAAGTGTCGGTATATGTACTCATGTTCAACAAGCACAGCTGACGCTACTGCGCAACGTTTCATTTGTAAAACTTGCTCTGCTGCCATACTCGTTGCATGTGTCTGTTGATGGATTAATGGAAGACAGCAATAGCTGTCACATTAATTAAAAAAAATGTTTTACAGACATGCTAAGGAAATGACTGCTTGAGAATTATATATGAATTTTTAAACAACGGGCAGTGAGAATGCCAAGAAGAACACGGGTCTACACCCTCCTTGGCATGTGCACCCTTGCTGCTCTGGAGCAAACAGCAAGGCTGCCCTCTGCTAAAGTTGCCACCTTGTCCCGTATTTTTGCCGGAGGATCATCGGCAGCGCTGGGAAATCTGCAAGCCCTGCCGGTACGTCGAACGTGTCCCGGCTTTTTGTCGATTCACAAGTTACGTGGGCGCACTCCCATCTTGTACGGCTGCGGTGCCTGCGTGAACTGATATTTGGGCTCCAGGTTTGGCTTTGAAGCCGGGTCGGGCCAGTAGAACTGAAAGCGTTGCAGCAGAGACGTGAAGAACAGGAAGAGCTCCATCCTGGCCAGGTTCTCTCCCAGGCACACGCGGGGACCTGGCGATAAATACATGTATACATAAACTATTGTTATTTCACATCCTTGTACGTTGTGGGAATGCCGTTGGCACGTTTGACGCTATATAAAATGAAAGTATTGTTCTTCTTGGTTCTTTCGGTAAAGTCACGTAGAATGGAAATAATAAAATAATA